TGTACCTCTGGTGCAAATTACTGACCTCTGTCATCATTTTAAGTGGGGGAACTTGCACAATCGGTGGCTGACTAAATACTTTTTTGCCCCACTGTACATGAGGTTTAAAACTTTGCACCATAATACTTCATTTCAATATAAATGTATCATAATGAACATAATGAAATCATAGCACAATGATAAAAACAAGCTTGAGCAGAATAACAAGACTTCCAGTTTCGGCATAAAGCAAATATATGTATTGTTCATGATTTTCAGCTGATGAAACTCACCAACCATCCCACTGCTGCTCCAGCAGTAGCTGACAGACCAGCTGCACCTGCAGCACCATTACACAAAGAAGCTGAGAATACTTATGCTTTGTGCCTAATAAGTAAATATCACTTCAGTCTTGCTGAGATCACAGTGTACTGTATCTTTATCATCATCATTAGTTATTGTTATCATTAATGATATCACTGACGATATCATTGTTATATTTATTATCATAATGATACAACAGTGTGATTATCTAATCTAAAATTGTGATATTTTCATGAACTTTTTCTTTTTGCATGTTGTTGCAAGTTAAAATCCTAATAAAACGTCAAATTATTTATTTACCTGCTGACTGCAAAACAGCCACCACACTTCCGGCTGCAACTCCTCCTCCATTAGAAGCTGCAGCAGACGACATCATGCCTGCAGCACAGGAGCCTGCAGCTATTCCAGCTGAGGTGAAACCTGCAGCTCCCAGAAGAGCAGGAGCAGCGACTACAGCACCTACTGCAGGAAGACAAGACATGTATCAGACATGGATCAGGCTTTGATTCAAATTAGTTAAAGATAAATAAACTGCTTACTTGCTCCTACAGCAGTACACACAGCTGTCACTATAACACAACGTAAGAACACACATTAACATCTAACTGGGCCATAGCTCAGCTGCTTTTTGTCAAAGACGATTCATGCACAGGAACTCAAATGACTCACCGGGGTCCATGTCTTTATCTGCTCTGCGTCTGCTGTGAAAAGGGCTGATTTTTATAGCAAGCAAGGTTTGCTTGCGGTTTGCAGTGTTTTGTGTTGTTTCACTTTAAATTTGTTTAAAAGGAAGAAGCTAAAAATTGAAATAGTTAAAAGTTGAACTGTGAACTAGGTAACAAAAGCTCAACACTGCGCCTAGCATTCTGGAGCACTTCGGTTGTCTTTTGTACGTGCTTCTGAGTTTTTATGTGTTTTGCAGTTTTTACGTGTTTTGGAGTTTGTACGTGCTTCAGAGTTCGTACGTGCTTTGAAGTTTGTATGTGCTTTGTCTGTAGGGGCCACCGTAAATGTACTTTTATTTATCCACTCCACATAAAATGTAATAAATCATATAATACAAAAATCAACTATTCACAGTTCAACTTTTAACTATTTCAATTTTCAGCTTCTTCCTTTTAAACAAATTTAAAGTGAAACAACACAAAACACTGCAAACGACAACACAATTAAATATAAATTAAAATATGAAAACAAAAAAAAGATGCATATTCTCTGTCATATGGGCCTGCATGAATAAATTTTCTGAATCTTTTATCATGTGCAACTGAAAATAGTTGTGGATGATTAATGTGACGTTGTTGTCCCTGGCTTTCTCTCTCTCTCCCTC